TTATAATTATCATGCATAATTTACATAACGTTTCTTAGTTCAGACCTATTTATTATATAAAACAAAAGAACAAAATAAATATACATTTTTAAATCATTGTTAATATTTACTATAATGCAACTACGAAATATTTTCTAAATTATTATTTAAATTTAAATAATTTATTAAGTTAAATTTATTTATATTGTAATAATTTGATGATTTCAAATTTTTTAAATGACTGCAAAAATAATAATAATTCATTTTTTTCTAATATTGAAAAAAATGTATTTACGGTCTGTATTCATAATACAATAAGTAAATTTGATAAAAATAATTTTATAAAATTTGTTCACATGCTTAGAAAAAATATCCAGTGATATAAATCTATATCAGGGGTGGCCAACCTAAATGATCTTCTCTATATGAGTCTAAATTATGTACAAATAATACAAATATAATTAATTGACTATTAATCAAAGTTCAAGTATACGATAACCGTTTTTTTTTCATATAACCATTTTTATTTTTATTTTTTATTATATTTTTTTCTTCATGATAACAGGTCTCTGGATCATTTTCTTTTTAGTCTATGTGTTTTGATAGGTAGATTGACGGAGGAGAAGTTCGAAATGAGAGGATTTGAGTGGTATTGTAATTTTATATTGAATCTTTTATATAATTTTGAAACTTGATTGTGGATGGTTATTATTATTACTTATTATTTATTTATTTTATATTATTTTATATATGATCATTATGCATGATTTGTTTATATACTATCGAGCATTGGTTATTATTCTGAGGGATATTGATTGAAATGACTGAATTATTATTATATTAGAGTTTTTGGAAGCTTCTCAAAATTAGATTCCGTAAGAGACCAAGGGAAAAAGGAGCAGTTTGTAAATTAATATTTTTTTTGCAAGAGGTAGATTCGATTTTGTAGATGGTGAAGTCTCTGGTTAAGTGATTTTCTTTTTCTTTTGATATGTGTTGCTCATATGAGGCATCTATCTAGATACATTCCAAGCTATTTTACTTATTACTCAGGTGGTATTTCTCTGTTATTGATATAAACTAAAGGACAAAAGTCTATATTACTTGAACACTGATTTGGACTAATGACATTAGACATTGATTCGTTGGTTTAAGGCGTTTACTGACTGTTGAATGGTGAATTTGCTTTTTTGTTGTGGGTATTTGATCACTGGAGTTCTTTGCGTTAAGAACATCCCCTGAAGTTAGCCATGTGTTCACCACTACTGAGGGAGGACGTTGGTGATTGACTTTAAGGTTTTTTACAGTTTTCGCTTAAATTTTCGTTACCACAATTAACACATTTGGAAGAATGAATGCAATATTTTTTTGGTATGGCCAAATCCTAACATTTTTGTCATCGCACTGATTGTTTTATGACATGAAGTTCCTCAATTTTTATTTTTGTATAACATATAGACTTAACGTTGAATATGTAACGATTTTGAGGCAGAAGTTCTAGGTCTATAAATGACAGTGGTAATTTTTGTTTGGTATGTTATTTGGAGTACATTGTTTATGTTTCTTACTATGAAACCAAGATCTTCTAGTTCATTTTTTATGTTCTGAATTTCAGTGACGCGGTGTAGGTTCCTGACAACTTCTTTGAACGCTCTTTTCTGTTGAAGTAGATGTGTATGGTTTGAGCTTTACATTCATGTAAAATTTGATAATTATTCTGTATGCATTAGGCAAATTGATGGTAAGTTTAATACCATTTATTGAACATGCGATGTAACACGCGTGGCTGACATCTCAAAACTGTCTTTATATTAGAAAAGAATATTGATTGTAATTTATATTTTTTATGCTTCAAAAAATGAATTTTTTTAACTATAATTTATTAGAAAATCGTACAAGTTTAACATAGCAGGTAAATATTTAAAAAAAATATAATTATCAACAATAAGTTAACGAATTTTGCACTATTTCTTAAATTGTTAAGCCCATATCAACTATTTTCTATAATAAGTATTTTAAATAGTTCTAAATAATTCAAAATTAATTTTTCTCTTTGCAAACTATAATTTTTCAAAATTAAACTTCTGACAGCACTATTTTTTCATTTATATGTGTTAATACTATGTGTAAATGCAATTAAATATACTAGAAAATATAATAATTAAGGTACCTATATGCGGAAAAAATATGAAATTCCATTAAAAGAATTTTAAGTTAATATTGACTCTAACACTATACTAGATTTATTTGAATTAATTTCATTTTCATCGTATGATTATTCATCATCATTCACCATATTATCGTTATTTTTATCTATAATCACCTATGTAAGCATTTTAAAACATATTAGTATATATAAAAATAGAAATAAAAATGGAATAGTAATCATTTAATTGTTAGAGATCATTATTCTTTAAAAAAAATAGCATTGAAGAATTTTGGATTTTTACAACTTAATTTTATTATGTTGTATGTTTATTTAATTGTGTACTTATATTCAAACATAAAATGAAAATATCTGAGTATTTTATTTGTTGAAAAAATTTGACAAACATGTGGAAAAAAAACTGAGAATAAACTGTCTATTTTTTCTTATTTATTTTTGTAATCCCAATGCATCCGCGGTTCAGTAATCTCAACATTTCTAGGCGTCTGATCATGGCATTTACCCGCCTCTGTATTTGGAATAGCACATTTCCCCACCACTCTTTCAAGCTGTTTCTCAATCCTTCCTCACTCTGTACTGGATCTCACGAGGATTCAATCTGCGATTTCAACCACATCATTTTTAACTGTCTTCGTTTTCTTTCTAGCAAACTTTTCCTTTTTTCATTCTTATCTTCTTTTGGTTATAACACACACTCCCGACTCTAATCTTCTCCTCAACTCTTGCTCTATTCCTATAATTTATTCCATTATCAATTTCATAAACTCCTCTGGCTTCATTATTTAAATTTAGATTTATATTGATGCATAATAGTTAAAATGCTTAAATTATAATACCTATGTTTAATATAATCACGGTATTATAATGTTCAAAGACCAAAGCAAAATAAAAAAAAAAACTACCCATCGATATTTTAAATATTAGAGATTATAATTTTTAGTCAAATAATATTGAACACTTATTCGTACAACTATATATTTTATCAACTCTACCGACGACCTGATCTAAATATTTGATAACTGTATATAGTTCTAATTTTATTTGTATAATTTTGTATGCATAATTTAACCATTTATTCGTAATATTTATGGTAAAAGCTAAATAAAAATTAGAAATAATTCAAATAAAACAATTGATAAATACTGCAATAATTATTTAGACATGATATAAGTCGAAAATCAAAAGAACCATTTTGCTTACTTTATAACTCTATGCTATCATAACGATTATCAATGTAGTATTGTTAAAAATTCTAGTATTACTACACTAATTTATAAGAAGATATTAAGTTCAAATTTATAAGATTAATGATTTTAATAGGCATAATCGTTTTCCAACTAATTGTGGTTACTATGTACTTGGTGTTTATTTCTGTATTTAATTCCGCCTTCCTCTAATGAAAATACAAAATATCCAATACTGTTTCTATTACGTGTACTGATTCTATTTAACTATATTTATACAAATATAACACGCATAAAACGTCTAAATATGTGTAGTATCAACATTATTCGATGAGCTGCATTAATTTAATGAAACTATTTCAAATTAATGTATGATCACTTTTTTTTTCATCTTGTGCTTAAACAATAATAATTAAATTTTATTTTACAGATATGACACAATTTCATTTAAAATATCTTCAGTGTACATTTTAAAATAATTTACATTTACTGAAAATATATATTATATGACTAATATTTATGTCCTCTGAATGGTTTCAACATATTTATTGAGTTGATTTATAAACATATTAAACATGTTTTATTATTATCTATTGTACAAATTTATTTTTAAAATATTATGTTCGTAAATGTAAATATGTTTACAATAACATATTCAACAATTATACTTTAAGTTATGAATAACAAAAGAACTACTAAAAATTAATTTTTATTAGATTGTTTTTATTTTACAAAAGGTAGATCAAAAATAATATTAATTTATTCCTAAAAAATCATAACAGGAAATTGTTGACTATGTAAATTATCATCATTTAAGTATGCTTATCATTTGTATTTTATATTTAATGCATAAAGACTATGGTTAAATACTATACGTTTCTTAATTATATTGTATCCATGTATTAGTAATATTAGAATTGCGATAGCAATAAATATACCTGAATAATTATTATAAAATATAACTTATAAGTGAACGTAATTTTTTTTTTAGCTTTATTCAAATAAATAAATTTAAATGGACGAACAATTTTATAAGTGTAAATAGGTTAAGTGATCTACAACGTATGATTCGAATTGGTTAAGTGCAAAAATATAACTATTATAATTAAACCGGAGAAAACTAAAAAAAAAGGGAGGAGGACCATGTCAGATATAGTGATCAGTCACATCAGCCGATTGTAACGTTTTGTAAATTGACTCGAAAGAAAAGGTCAGCAAGCAAGCAAGCAGCTGCTTTGTTTATACATTGAGTGAATACTTTTGCATGGAATTTATTTAGTATTGTTTTTGATTTATTTATTTTTCTAAATAATCGTTTAATTGTAATTATCGTACTTACAGTTGGTCAAAGTCTCCAAGCCCACTCTACTTATATCATAGACCTGTATTTCAAAAATCAAATATTCTTTTTTTCTGTAAACACGAAACGAAGACATGGATGTTTTAAATTATACGTGTAATGAGAAACAAACAACTAAATACCAACCAATAATTGTAATACATATTTTGCAAGTGCGATGGCTGTACCTAATTTATATGATGATTTAATCTCAAATCTATTCTTCAATAACTATTTCATGTTTATAATACTATACAAGGTCAATCTAAAAAATTTTCGATCACTCTAATTGCTAACATTATAGCGAATAATTGACATTAATCTATATTACCGGGAAGCTCAAGGAAATTGGATGTTCGCCTTTGCCTTCCACGAACCGTGGTGTTAAAGTTGAGTGGTGCTAGTTCTTCGTTGGAAAATTGAGAGTCACGACTGCTTCGCCGTGACGCTAAGTATGCAAGACCACGACCTCTGGGTGATGATGGTCGAGAAAGTGAGGCCGGCATTGTGGATGGATCTTCTGTGCACTCAGTTAAGTCAGATGCGGACCTATGAACAAAGTATTCATTGTATTTAGATTATATCTTTTAAAAATGCAATTAAATTGTATAAGACAACATTTCTATGAAGTAATAATAAAACAAAATATGTTATGTTGTTTATATTTCAACACTGCTTGTAACTTATCATCCAAAAGTAAAACTCTTTATTGTTTTATAAATTAAATTAAATTTTTTTTAAAAGGAATGAATTTTAAGTTAGCAAAATACTTATTTATTCCAAAATAATTAAGATTTGGATAGACATAAAATTTAAATAAATGCTTAGCTTTACACCAAAATAATATAACTTATACATAAGTTACCGTCAATTTAATGATACTTATTTCTTTTTAAATGAAATAAATTAGTAAACATTATTAACATGTTATATAATATACAATATTATTCATTAACATTTTTGAACTAAGTATAAATACAATTATAAATTCAATTTTTTTAATTATTAATCGACTATATTTAAATATTTCATACCACCTAATTAATTAATATAGTATTCATTACAGCATCACTATATAGTAGCAATATTTTTTCTTTATTGAATTTTAACGCAATGTATGTATTATAGTAATATTTATAACTACGTGATTGTGTCAATTACAGTCAAATTTGACAAATTTTCTATCACAACATACAAATAATAGAAATCCCAAATAATAACATGAATAACAATAGAATAGCAAATTTCCAAATTGTTGACAATACTTTTTGATTTACTTTTCAATAAAACATGTAGTTAGAAACACATCTTCATTTTATTTTATTTTTTTTTTTTTGGATTGTCTCTAAATATTTATACGAGTACAATATGACATATTATACACATAATATAATTATAAAATTCATTATATGGTTATTGTATTAAGTAATAAATTATTTTTCCAAAATTAAATTCTTGATATGTATCAGACTATAATTTTTTTTTTTTTTTTTTAATTGGATATGAATTAGTGTTAACAGCAAAATAAACAATTAAATAGTTTTAAAAAATGATAATTAATTATACATTTGTATATCTTAATTTATCCGTCAAAAATAAGACAAATATACTTTGATAAAAATAGAGAAAAAAAGCCATAAAATGTTATCATTTTTAGATTTATTATTTTCATTTTATATAATATTTAACTTAACTTGAAAGTAAGAAATTTACATTTCTTATATTATCATTATTATTAATTTGCAACATCTTTAAATTAAAAATTTGAACAATAATTTCTGTAACAATCAAAATCAAACATAATAGTTTTATACCTATATAGGTCTACTGCATATGATAAATTGCACTAGTATATTTTCAGTACATCGTTCACAACTTTTTGACATTCTCGAGAATACTAAAACGATGAAGTATTATTTTAATGGAGGAACAATTTAATAGCATTATAGTGAAGTTTCCAATTAACAGTAAATCATTTTACCAGGACATATCGTCGACATCATATTTTAATTTAGTGTACAGCTTAACAAATTGTTCTAATTTACATAAATAGGATAGGTACAGACAAACTGTAATATAATGTATATACTTGTTAAACCAAGACTATTGTACAATTTGTTGTTATTTTTACGTTAAAAAATGATTCAATTTCAACCTATAGTTCAGACATATAATATAGTACAATCGATTTTTACTAATATGTCATAAATAATACATACCTATAAAAAATTATATGTTGGTAGCTATAATGAAATATTTTTTATTTGCCTATTTTTTTTTTTTTTGTACATATCATGTATATATTTTGGCTGTATTTTAACTATTAAAATGTATATCAAAAATAAATATTATTTATAATTATCTAAATTAAATACATTTTGTTGTTTATTATTAGTATTCATTTAAAAATTTATCTCCTGTAGTTAGAGTTAAGCTCCGAGTTATTTTAATTTAAGTGAACTTACAACTTTCAGATAATATCTTACATACAATTTGAAACCTTATAATATAAACTTCTTACAATACTATATAATTCTAGTTTTATTTGGCAAATTTAAATATTTTGAATAATAAAGTAAAATACAAGTATTATTATACGGATATACTTTATCACTATAAAAAACAATAAACTCATACATATTTTTCTTTTAATTCAGTTCAATTATGAATTAAAAATATTTCAATTTAAGGCATTTATATATTTAACTAACGCCAAATTAATGATATCGTAATTAAATTTAAATAGAAATAAAAACAAATGTAATTGGATGAAAAATAATTTCATAAAAAATTAAATATTTTATATATTCTGCTAATTTAGGCCAAACAGTATTGTATGCGCATTTTTATATACCATAAAATATTTACAATGTATCGACATAACAAGTTATAAAATTAAAAATTTAATTATAATATTATAATGAACATTTTTCAGTGAAAAATACATTCAACAATCTCAAACGCCCTCTAAAAAATCATTTCTACAGGAATAATATCAAAAATGTCAAAAGTACTTAAAATTTCTTGTAAACCTGAATATTATTTTTTAGGGAAACAACAAAAAGTATTCTTTAAATAATAAAAAACATATTACTCATTATTTTTAAGGCAATTGAATAACTACCTTCAACATCCATAATAATAAAAATAATAATTTATTAGCCAACTAAATTATTTTATCTAGATAATCATTTATAAATTATACGATATATAATCCAAATCACCAAAAATAATAACCTCATCTTATCCATACAGTAAGAACACATATAATGAAAAAAAAAATAATAATAGTGATGAAAAAAAAAATTTACAAACATTTTTGAATATTTTTTTATTTTTTATTTTTCTTGTTTATTTAATGAGAAATGTACAAAACTTATCACCTGAGCACAAGAAAACAATAATCATTGTTTATTTATTTATTCATTGAGTTTATTTATCATACAGATTTTTATAATATGGTTTGACAAATGTTTATGCCATCAAAATTTACATTATGAAAAGATTATTATCATATACTTACCCGTAACGTCAAAATCCAGAAAAATAGTATAACTTCAGACAGATATATCATTTCTACTTCAACACAATTATATATATTCAAGTGCAAATACACATAATTATAATACTTTTTTTAAGACTGTAGATTTTAAAGGAAAAACCTCTTATAGATGAGACTTTGTTATTAAAATACTTTTACAATTTCTCCTTCTTCTGGCATGTCTACTCTCTAAGAGTTTTTGACGTCATTACTACACTTCTCCATACTATTCAAACTAAATAACTAATAATTTTTTTTAATATAATTTACTAATAAATACGCGTATATATATATAATATACATTGGTAGTACACTTGTATCTTAATTACGGGTCACCTGTCTTCTTATTTAATAAAATAATTCCAATTAAAAGCTCTTTCAATAAGTATCAGTTAATTTAAATAAAATAATTTTTCTAAAAACTAATAAATCGAAATAGATCTGAAAAGCTGTCTATCTAAATATTAACTAATATTTTTTTGGGAAAAATAATAAAAATGTATGCACATTACGTGTTACGAATAATATACACGTCTGGGTGGACTTAATGTGAAGTATTACATTTAAACTTATTTTAACCCTTCCGATTAATAAACGTGTTGACATATTACATAAATTGTAGACTTAAATATATTTTAAATAAAATCATTGTTCTCGTCGATATTTTTTGTTACTTAATGTGAACAATTTCATAATAATATATAAATTCATAGTTTTCTATCATTTATTTTATGACCATACTTGAAATTCCACCGTGTTATGCAACGGCTACTTTTAATCATTGTAACTGAAATTTACTCAGGAACCGAGTTCAATTTTTTAAAATAAAATTCGGAAGTTATTTCACAATTAACACCTACGTAGTTATTTAGTCTTAGAATTGTTTTTATTCGGATTTTTGGTTAATTTGGTTGAATATCTTTAACAAAAATACTTGTTTTCAATTAATATTACACATTAGTTAGCCATGGTAAGCAATCGTCAATCAAGGTACAAACAGCAAATCTTTAGCTTCCGGATAGATGTCCAGTGTCCACCCGATTCTTAGGCAATAATCGTATGTCTCCTTAACCAAACATAAGATCCCTGACATACTAAGAATAAAATTCTAACCGATGTACATTTGATTACAATTTAAAATTCAACGGTCTAAACTGCTACGAATTAATTTTTTCTCGCAAAACAATGTATTTTAATTGAAATAGATAAATTACATATTATGCATTTCGACCGGAGTTGCGCAATATCAACGTGACGATATTGTCACTATCTATAAAACTATATCTGCTTACGTTAAACATAAAACTTTTATCGAAGAACGAATTACATTCGTTGAAAACCTCCAGCGATTTTTTGCGGTCCGTGAAAAGAAGACCACCTGAGACAGATGTAGCGCGTTCTGCGGACCGTCTCAAACCGTCAAATATCGAAAAATTGTAGTTACTACTACGTATAAGTACACGTATAGATCAGAACAGAGTAAGAGGTCGAAACGGACAGATTGGACCGACCTGTGTGTGTTGGACGCACTATCGCTGTTGGTGTTGTACGACGTGGTGGCGGCGCTGCCGGTGGACGGGCTCCTGGGCAAAGTTCTCGGGGTGTTGGGGTTGGTCCCTCCGGAGCTGCGGGCGTAGTGGTTATAGGCCATGGACGAGCCGCCGGACGGCGTGGTCGGCGGGAACTTGAACACCGTGGACGACGGGGTGGTGGGACTGCGGCGCGGTGGATTGTCGGTCGGCGTGGTCACGCTCAGCGACGGGCTCCGGGGCGGCGTGTAATACGACGTGGACGACGAACCGGTGGCGCCCGGCGGCGTCTTGTGGTGCGAGTCCGGGAACGAGTTGACGTGTCCCAGATCGCGACGGATGACGGGCCGCGGTTTGTTGGCCGCTTTGAAGCTGGACGACGACAACCGGCACGGCTGATGGTGGTACGCCGCGGACGCGGCCACCGTTTGTTGCGGCTGCGGCTGGTGCTTGCCGGCCGCGCTACCGGGACCGGCCGGACCGCCGTCACAGCCGCCGGCGCCGTTAGCGTCGGACACGTTCGCGGACGACTTTGACCGGGGCGAGCA